TACATTTCGAATTTAACTCCACACTGCAGAGAGGTGGGACGTGAAATAGCAAATAACAGGGCCTAAACTGCTCTAACAGGCATGTTGCCGTTTTTGAGCAACAACGAGACTCCAGAAGAAAGATCCAATCCTCGTGCGGAGAGTATACAGACTTGTTTCGCAAATATTTAAAAATACCTTTATAGAGCGTGGAGGGTGTAATTCGGCTTAGTTTCGTGACTGTACAGCTCGACAGTCGGCGTGGTTCGCTGCCAGTCGTTCGCGTGTATGAATGACGATGAGCGGGTGCAGCACTCTGCGTACTGCCCGAATCGCTGTGCAACTCCGTGATCGTCGGCGTATGTGATCGCGCTACTTCTAAGATGCAGTAAGAAGTCAGGGTACATCGAGTGAAGCAAGCACAGCTGCATTTGAGAAAGAACATCCGTGACACCAGTCACTTACCGAATGCTCTGGTGGAGAAATCATCTCTCATCGCCTGCAGTTCCTGCGACAGTTCTGTCAGCAGTGCTCCGTAGCCTCGAATTTCGATCGAAGATGTGCCACCAATACGGCTCAGACGTGTTTTGAATTCCAACTGCCAAGCTGCTTCGTGCTCCGTTGTTGCCTTCTGACCGGCCTACAAATAAAACACACTAGTGCTATTTATTTTTGTGCGTTTAAAAAAAATAAGTAAATAAATTATGGTATATAGAAAAAAGAATAAAATTAGACTGAAAAAATTAAAGTTAGACTGGAAAATATAAATTAAAAACTTAAAATTAGGTTTTTATGTGTACCACGAGGAAGATATTATGGCATATATAAACCCAGGCTGAAACTCACTGGGCGGGCCCGTGCGATCATGCATTTTTGCACCGGACTCGAAGTACTCAGGTTATTAACTGTACGACTGACTGTTGCTTTACACCTCCCTTTTGCGGTCAATAGCATAAGTCACCATAAATTTTGCAAAGTAAGTGTACAATTTCCATTTAACAATCATTCTTTCAAAGTAACCTAGTTGATCAGTGAGCAATTTTTTCGCCAAAAATTTTAAGTGTCCGCACTTCAGAACCACGCACACCTCAAAGCTGAATCTGAAATACTTAAGTTGTACTTGGACAGGGAACATTCCTCCTAAATTTCAGCTTTCCAGCTTTTCTGGTTACCGAGTTAGCAATTTTCCAGCCAAAACCTTCACATATCCGTACTTGTGTACTCCACGTGCCTGGAAAGCTAAATTTAAAATTTTTAAATTGCAGTGGACAGGGAATATCTACTTCAAATTTCAGCCTTCCAGTTCTTCTGACTGCCGAGTTAGCAGTTTTCTTGCAGAAAGTTTCATACGCTCATACGTGACTACAATGCATAGCCTGGGGCTGATTTTGAAATATTTGAGTAGTACTTGGGTGGGGAACATTCCCCTAAAATTTTCAGTTTTCTAGCTTTCCTGATACCCGAGTTAGCAATTTCTACCTTAAAACTATTATATTCCCTTAATTGAGTACCACGCATAGCTTAGGGCTGAACTTGAAGCATTTGAGTTGTACTTCGATATGGAACATTCTTCCAAAATTTTAGCTTTCTAGCTTTCCTGGTATTCGAGTTAGCAATTTTCCCCATAAAACTTTCA